AGGGAGTCTGCTTTTCCCTCTGACCCTCCCCCCTCTCATGTGCTCTCTCTCTGTCTCATTCTTTCTCTCAAATAAATACATAAAATCTTTAAAAAAAAAAAAACCTATCAAGAAGAGAAATTAAGAAAACAATCCCATTTACAATTGCATCAAAAAAAAAAAAGTGAGGAATACCTTTAACCAAGGAGATGATAGACCTACATGCTGAAAGTTATAAGACATTAATAAAAGAAGTTGAAGAAGACACAAATAAAGGGAAAGATATTCCATGCTGATGGATTTCAAGAATCAATATTGTTAAAATGTCCATACTACTCAAAGCGATCTACAGATTCAATGCAATCTCTATCAAGATTCTAATCACATTTTTCAAAGAAATGGAGCAAATAATCATAAAATTTGTAGAGAACCAGAAAAGACCCTGAACACCCAGAGCAACCTTGAGAAAGAAGAACAAAGCTGGAGGTACCACGGTCTTTGATTTCAAACTGTATTACAAAGTCATAGTAATTAGTACAGTATAATATTGGCATAAAAACAGATACATAGACCCATGACACAGAATAAGGAGCCCAGAAATAAACCCATGCATGCGTGGTCAATTAATTTATGACAGGGGAGCCAGGGATGTACCGTGGGGAAAAGATGGTCTCTTCGATAAATGGTGTTGGGAAAACTGCAACACTATCTTACACCATTACACAAAAATTAACTCAAAATGGATTAAAGACTTGAATGTAAGACCTGAAACCATAAAGTTCCTAGAAGTACCACAGCAGTAAGCTCCTTGACGTCGGTCTTGGTGATGATTTTTCGAATCTGACACCAAAAGCAAAAATAAACAAGTGGGACTACATCATACTGGAATGCTTCTTCACAACAAAGGAATCCTCAACAAAATGAAAGGTAATCTACTGAATGGGAGAAGATATAAGAAGTGTATACACACACACACACACATATATATTTTACATATGCATGGTAGAATATTATTCAGCCATGAAAAAGAATGAAATCTTGCCACTTGTGACAAAATGGATGGATCTTGAGGGCATTATGCTAAGTGAAATAAGTCAGAGAAAGACAAATACTGCATGACCTCTCTTATACGTGGAATCTGAAAAAAAAAAAAAAAGCTTGTGGTTGCCAGAGGTGGAGGGTGGGGAGGGTGGAGAAATGGATGAAGGGAGTCAAAAGGTAAAAAGAAAAAAAAAAAAGACATTGAACCACAGATATCCTCTGGGCAGCCAAAATGTTTTGGATATTTTGGCTGCCCATGGTTGAAGGTTGGGAAGCACAACTGAATAGCAGAATTCTTGAGCAATGCTGTTGGACCCCCGTCTAGTGGACCCTGAGATTTGCCTGCCTGTGAGTGGGAACGGTGGGGTGTTAGGAGAGATCTGTGCGGCCCAGATAGGGCAGATTTGGACTAAATAAACCTGTTGTGTCAAAATTTAGTGGTGTTCCAGCAACACAGATAATGGATCGTGAGAAGCCCGCTGTCTGGGGTAACAGACACCACAGCTTACGGGGGGCCTGGGATGGGGTGTGCTCTGGGCTTCTGGCTTTCTCTGAGACCATCTTACTTGGCCCTCAGGAGGCCATTCTTCCCAAAAATACGTATCAGAGAAGAAGGAAACCACCTCTAATGTGACAGAAATATGCTAGGTGTTGACGACAATTTGAAGTCAATGGAATTTCCCTATTATAAAGATGGGGATCTTTGTGTATGCGTGGGGGGCGCTCTATCAGGAGAACGGTGTTCCATGCCTCACCAAGATGTCAGAGCGCTCTTAATGGCAACAGGATTATAGGATTAAAGCCTGAAGTCAATACACAATGGCTGACCTGTAAAGTACTTTTAGGGAGTATTCTGCACAGAGCTTCCACAAAACGCTCAGGGCATTGAGAGGACAGAGGTGAATTCATAGCAGTGTTGAGTGATCAGTCAGGCACACATAGTTGTGGTGAGGACTGAGGACAAGAGGAATTGAAGTTCTGAGTCTAGACAGGGCGGAGTGAACAGAGCAGTTAGAAGCAAGGTTGTGAAATGCATCGTCCAGAATGTCGTGTTTGCGGGATGCCAAACGGGGCCATGCCTCCTTCAGAAATAACCATGCAGGCCTGGTGTCTAGTTCTCCATCGTATTTCACAAGCTTCAAGAAACCTCCAGAACGCGTGCCCTGGGGGTGTCCGAGCCAGCCAGCCAGCCATCCCCTGAAACACCGCCACAGCTCCAGACTTCAAGACCCTCCTCTGCTTTGCTTCATTGACATCATTTTATCATGTGCACCTTGTATTGTTAAGTAGATGCAAGTTCTGTCTCCTTGGGGCCTCACGGTTGCTGTGAGGTATATGTAAGGCAGGGGACGGCGTTTCAGAGTTCGTTCTGCATTGGCTTATTTGCTTGGTAAGGAGTCCGATGTCTGCAGATGCAAGGGCTGGGAGAAACATTTATACTTTTTCTTTACATTTTGCCATGGGAGCCAAAATAGGCATCAACAGATTATCTGGCTGTTGAGCTGTTTCCTGTAGATCCCCCACCTGATTCCTGTGGAATGCTGCACTTGATGAACAAGGCACTGGATTCCTCTGGTGCTCGGCATCCCACGACAAAGCATGAACTGACGTTCAAAGCAACCTCCAGAGATTGGTGTTTGCTTTGCCTTTAATATTGATGGACAAGAAAATCTGAGTCTCAAAAATGCTCTCAGGGAACTGAATGATACTACACTTGGCAGAACAGAATAGGATTGGAGGCTGAGCGCAGGTAATAATGGGCTGCTGCTGAATGGGATGGGTTTCCTTTATGTACTTGTTTTAATTTTTATTTTTTAAGTAAGCTCTATGCCCAGCGTGGGGCTTGAACTCACGACCTTGAGATCAAGGGTCGCATGCTCCACCGACTGAGCCAGCCAGACGCCCTGCTACGTATTTATTTTAAATACAGAGAGCCCATTGTTCATACGAAAGCTTCCCCGCAAGCTCCTTTTGTCAAACATGAGAGCGGAGTTGTCCAGAGGCTCTCATCCCCCCAGTCATTAATTCCTGCAAATGTTGGCTCTGGAGCCTTCGACACGCCGGGAATTGTTAGGAGCTGCAGAAATAGGAAGTAATCGCTGTCCCCATGGGTCCCACATGGTAACCGGGGAGACAATAAATAAATGTATAATAACCATAATAGCGAGCACGTACTGGATGTTCACTTTGTGCTAAGAACCTCCTAAAGTTCTTTCATGTGTAGTAACCCATGTGATCACTTTGTGAGGTAGGTACAGGTATTCACCCATTTTACAGGAGATAAGTGGAGGCAGAGAAGAATCAAGGAGTGTGTCCAAGTTCATGTGACTTGTAAAGGGCAAAGGCAGGAGTCGAACCTGGATGGCATATCTCCGCCATATGTGGGCTGACTTCCTGGCTGCACCGGCCTCGGGGTGGAATGCGCCCTGGGCACCGGGTGCTGGGGAGGTATACTGGTCAGGACAGGGGAGAAGAGGCTCCTAGGCAGAGTGTGGCTTCCATTTTGTTTTGCTTTGTTTTTTTCTTTTCTCTTCTCTCTCTCTCTCTCTCTTTTTTTTTTAAGTAGGTTCCATGCCCAGTGTGGAGCCCAGTGCAGGGCTTGAACTCACGCCCCTGAGATCAAGACCTGAGCCGAGATCGAGAGACAGACAGTCAACTGACTGAGCCACCCAAACGCCCCACCATTTTGTTTTTAATTTGAAATTGGAGTGTTGGTTCTCTAAACCCTCTTTCTGCACTAACACTTACATGATTCGATTGAGCAGACCCTGGGGCGGGGGGAAGACTGAAAACTGATGTGCCCTTTAGCCTGCCAGCGCCCCATACCCCACGCCCAGTTGGAGAAATTGCTCTGTGGAAACAGCTCATTCGAGTGTTGGCTTGCATTTATTTTTGGCATATTAGATACTGAGCACATGGTATGGCATCCACAGTCACTGGTCTTCACGGCCGTCATTTATATCATATCTCCATTTGTTCGTAACTTTTGAAGGTTCAAAGAAACCCAAGCCCATTCTTGGCAGCAAGTAGGCTACTTCTCAAGATGGCAGACCGTGTTAGAAAGTGGGGTCGGGGGGGACAGTAAAGTAACCGCCAAACAGAGAAGGCCCTTCGAGACAGGGAAACAGAGCAGGCGACTCCATGCAGTTTACACAGAACTTTACTCAGGGCAACTTACTGATGGGGGACCGGGTGGAGAATGATCCAGGAGCCCTGCAGTTACTCTCTGCAAAGTCCAGACATCAGGCTGCGCATTTTATAGAGCGAGCAACGCTGGGGCACTGCAGCGGGATCAGAGGGTTCACACGCACCTCACAGGGTTTGCAGGTGCCTACTTGGCAGCTACACCTTTAATAAGCTCTTGTGGCCCCACCTGAGCACCAGGAAGGAGAGAGACTGTGCTATCTCTAGCAGATTCATGGGAGGCCAAAGCCAGCCTCCCCCATCCCGGCCTGGGCAGGTGATCCTAAGTTGTGTATGTCCGTCCCCAAAGTGCCCGGAACAGGTAGCCTTGAGAGAGGTCACCGAGTGGCCAGAGGTGCATTCAGTGTCCTTGGCACCCCTAAAGACCGTCTTCTTGTCCACAGCAATGTGCTTCTTGACTCTTCCTTCCACTTTTCAGCCCCTAAGACCTTGTTCTGATGGTAGGCTGACGTTTCAAGGAGGCTCAGTTCACATACCTGCAGTTTGGTCGGGAGTATTAACTGATTCTAGCTGGTACGTGGAGTTAAAGGTTGCAAGCATCCTCCGTTTCCTTCATGACGACGCAAATAAACCTGCAGCAGGAATCTGTCACGCAGCATCGTATGCTGTAAGGCAAAGCGAGAATACGGGTTTTGCTCGGGGCATTCGAGCCCGTCAGTGGAAATGATATTGGAGGCTTGCATGGGCGGTTTGGCACTGTGTTCATGCTGGAGCATCCTCCCAAGAGAAGTCATCTCACACTGATGAGATTTTCTGTCTGTCTCTCCCCTTTGCAGGGCTGCCTGACAACGCCCAACTCCCCATCTGTGAATTCCCGTTCCATTACGTTGGGTCCATCCCTCTCACTCAGCAACATCTCAGGGGTGTCTGTGAAGTCGGACCTGAAGAAGCGGCGGGCACCCCCTCCTCCGACCCTGCCAGGCACGGGGCCACCAGCGCAGGACAAGGCCTCGGAAAAGGTAGGCAGAGGGCAGCTCTCGGGACCAGCACATCCACTAGATGGACCAGTGAGTTCTCTCTAGAAGTTCCCTGCGTGCCCTAAGATCCTTCAAATCTGTGGCTTTAGCAGGGAGAGTGTTCAGGCCAATATTTAAGCTTTATGTAGAAGTAAAGGTGAGATGCCATGCTACTTCAGTTATGGGAGGTAGGAAACTTTTTGTGCTTTTAATCATTAGAGGTCTGTGCTTGCTGATTAGCATTTGTTCTACCTCTAGCATTGAAATTTTGGGCATCGTCACCAATGCTTCGTGAGAAAATTGCATGGGTCAGGGCACTGGAAGAATCTGGAGTCTGTATGGGATAGGGACGATAGGTGATATTAATATAAGATGCCCCAAGTAAGTCAGAGTCACAGGACAGCGGGGAGTAAGTCACTTTCGGTGTGATACGGCGTTTGCGGAGACCACGTATGTACGAAGTGTGCATGTTAAGTTTATCTTCAGAGCAACTTAATCCCTTTGCAAGAGGTTGTCATTGTGTGTGGCTGGGAAACAGCCTCTGTCCCCAGCAGCTGGGGTCTCGACTGGGCTTCTTTCCTGCCACGTGTCTGCAAGTGCCACCTTGCAGCGTTGTTGGAAATCCCCAAACCTCCCTTCCCAGGGGCCAGGCTGCTCCTTGGCCATGGCTCCTCTTCTTGGGGCTTGGAGTGGGACACCGTAAAACTGGGAAGTATGGTTTATATTCTCCAAATGCATCGTTCCTCACTTGGGTGGGCAGTGGCGGGGACAGCCCCCGGGGTGGCCAGGATGGGAGTGGGCTTTTGAATCCTAGAGAAGATGAGTTCCCCAAGGCAGACCAGCTCCATCCGTATTCTCAGACACGGGGTCAGCCTGCAGAGTCAGTGAGGATGCATTGTTCTTCATGAAGCTCAGAGGTTTCCCAGTGACGGGCGCCCCGGGTTCCTGGCGGAGGCGGGGGGCGGAGACAGCCCAGCATGAACAGGAACTTTACAAAACACACATTTATTCTCCCATAGGGGCTTAATTTCCTTTCCTTCTGCCTTGGTGTCCCTTGGCTTGTCCCTGCTTTATATAGGCCGAGTGCTTCACATTCCTGCTAGTCTTGGTTGGAACCCTTTTTTGCTCATTCCATAAAATGGCTCTTCTTTAAAATAAACTTGAAACTAAGTCTGTACCTCCCAGGTGGGAGGCTTGGCCCGGGATCATGGTTAGAAGTTATCTGAGGGGGACTCTGGAGCCGCAGACTTCTCACTTAGTTTCCTTTTTATCCTGGTTGTCTGTCTGTCCATCAGTCTTTTTTTTTAAAGACTTATTTATTTTAGAGAGAGCAAGCGAGCATGTAAGCAATGGGGAGGGGCAGAGGGAGAGGGAGAGAGAGTCCCAAGCAGATTCCACACTGAGCATGGAACCCAGTGTGGGGCTCGATCTCATGACCCAGAGACCATGACCTGAGTCAAAACCGAGTCGGATGCTCAATCACGTATGCCACCACCGAGGCGCTCCCCGTCTGTCCATCAGTCCTAATCTTAACAAATCTTCCTCTCTCCCTCCAGGGGTGATCTTTATCCCCAGAGACTGCCCCCCTCCCCCATTCCCATCTACAGACCTTTCTGGCCGCGCCCCAGTGATCTGTTGGAAAAGCCTACAACAGGACATATTTTAAAAGAAAGTATTTTGAGTTTTGGGCTTCCTAAGCATTTTCTAATGCCACGAAGTTGTTTTGAGGTCTCCATGATATCTTAGCTATCTTCTGATGCGAAGAACTTTAGGCGCAAATGGCACCTCATTTGGTGGTACGCTTGCATGGTTAAAGGGTGTAAATCAAACACGGTGACTTCTGGTGGGTGTGTGCCGTGTGCCTCTTTATTTTGCTGGGGTTTAGAGTCTGAACTTTTTCATAACCCGCAGATCATATTTCTAGCATTTAGCACTTTTCAACCAGTCCCCTCTGGGGACGTCTTTTTGCTTTCGATTGGGAAGGATATTTCTTTCTCAGTGAAAATCACGAATTCCAGGATCATGATCACTTACGTTTTTTGTTTTTTTTTCCCAATGAGAATCGCGTTTCCCTAATGTTATAGCATGTAGATGCTAAGCCAAATCAGCATTTTAAAACCGTCTTCCATCCAGAGAAGATGTGGTGTTTTTCAGATTTTAACGTACTTCTCCAGAGTGGATAAAGTCTGCTGGAATAGGAAAATGTATAGTAAGTAGAGAATCGGGAATTCTGAATGAAAAGTAAACAGTTCTCTATACCCTGAATAATGAACAGAGTTCCCTGTGAGGCAGTAAAAGCTTTTTACTGAAATCTATTTTATTTGGCACAGAATGAGTGGAGAAATTGGCTCACAGAAACCCTCTCCTTTTTTAAGCATATGAGTGGCATATGGATTAGATTTAAGCATTTGCTAGCACCATTTTTTTTTCCTTTTTAAATGAAAGGTATTTTGTTATTTACTAATTTCTGGGAAAGGAACCCAAAAATGTATTGTTGTCATTGTTGGGGAAAAACGTCAATTCCTTCTTCATGAACTTCCTTCCATATAAAGATAAGATGTTTGTTTGGAAAGCCTTATTTATATGCAACTGTTGCTAACATTAATATCCTGAATGAAAAGGAAAGGCTTATTTTCAAGGACATGACTAGTTTTGGAAAAGGAAAACGCGTCTATTTTCTTATTTTAGAGGATTTTTTCTTATCATCTGGTCTGAAAAATTTGGGGTTTCTGTATTCAGGTCTTAGAGTGGGAATATTTTCAGCCACGTCCCGGCTCATCGGAAACATTTTCAAAAACGCGGTCTTTGTATGCATGTTTGTTACCTGATGATAGACTCACAACATGATCATCAGTATTGGTAATTTCTAAAAGTACTTTCCGTAGAGCAGTTCCTAGAGGTGTTGGGGCCAGTGGAAAAGAAATTAACAGTGTCCCCGGGCAAGCCTGTTAGCAGAGAAATTGGCAAGACGGGTAAAGAAACGTGTTATCTTTCCATCTATCCTTCCAGAAGTGGCCAGACCAAGGTGTTCCCCTTTCCCAGTACCTTGAACGTAGTTCTAATCAAGTGGAACGTTCAGACAGGAATGATATATATGTGAGGGCATCATATGCTAAGTCAGTATTTTTCAGACTTAAGTGAGCATCAGAATCACCCCCAAAGGGCTTGTTAAAACACATTTTACTTGGCTCCACCCTGAGAGTTTCTGATTCAGGAGATCTGGGGCAGGGCCTGAGAATTGGCATTCCAGCAAGTTCCCAGGCAAACCCCACTTTGAGAACCGCCATGCTACAGACTGCCACTGCCCTGATCCACCCACACAGATTTGGAACTAACAAATGTGAGAGAGAGCCGCTCGGTGTAAATATTCTTAACAGATCCTGAGAGAGTCTTTGGCAGGACAGTTACCTAGAAAGGAATGAATCTGCGCTATGTAATAATATTTGGGCACAGGTCGCCGTGGTGTTAGCTGGGGCCTGACGTTGGATGTTAAGATGAATAAATAGCTCCACTCACTCTCTGGTCCTCAGTTTTCCTCCTCTGCAGAATGGGAAGACTAAAAGCAGCCTCCCCAGGTGCATGATGTAGAGGTCAGAGCAGGGGCCCTGGAGTGGCCACCTGGGTCCAGATCCCAGCGCTGTCACTCCTGGTAGTCCTTGGTGAGTCCCTCCACTCGCACCCCTCCTTCCCCGAGGTGCACATACCGCATAACCAGGTGGCGTGAGAGCCAGGCATCAGGGGATGCGGGAGCCTGAGGCAGGGAGGGCTGGGTGGTGGGGGCAAAGGCTCTATGCCCTGGCCAGCCTCCTGCACGAACCAAGTTGCAGACTAAATCTAAAACTCAAACTCTCCATTGCTATAAACATCAGGGGCAGTGCAAAAAGTTGCCACACCCCGGGGGCAGGTTCATCCCGTTAAATGATGCCACACACCCCCTTGGTGGCATTTTTGCCCCATCAGTCACAGACTGAACACCCCGTTCACTAGTCCACACTGTCAGAGATTATCAGGGGACGATTGCTCATCCCTTTTATGCCTTTGGAGCCTCTCTCTGAGAAGAACGAGAACAGAATCCTGTCCAGTAATCCGTTAGGTGACTCAGTTTACCTATTCAGGATCAAAGCAATCCCACATAAATCATACTTGCTGGCTTCTGCCTCTGTACAACACTTTGCTGGCTACAGAGAGGCTTCTTTCGCTTTTCTGTCAATTGATTAAAAATAACTTGTGGGACTTTACTAGAAAATGCTGTGTTGTCTAACTTGAGTTATCATTTCCCACAAATCCGGAATGAACAGCTCTTCACTATTTTTTCAGTCGGCACACGGTTCTTCTACGCCTGCTGTTGTGCCTATAACAACTATAAATCCTTTTTTATTGTGAGTAAAAGTCATTCAGAAAGTGTTTCAGCCATCCAGGCTTTCTTTTGTCCTATAGTATTTGAATTATTGCATTCATCGCAGAGAGCGTTCAACACCATAAAATTCCAACATGACAAGTGCGCTTGTACATGATCTCAAGTTTGTTGCATCAGGACTAAAATAACTGGTTGTATTGGCCATTAAAATGAGAGATGGGGGGGGTTGGTGTTATGATCAGTTATTGGCCTTACCCAAAATAGATTTTTTCCATGAAACATTGCTTATGTATTTGATAAATATATCTTCAACAGCTGCTATTTGCAAGCCCCGTGCTTACAAGCAAGAATTGGTATTCATTCCTCGAATATCTTAGTGCGATGTACACATAAACACACAGCGTTTTGTACTGTGTAAATAATTAGGGTAACCTGCACGTGTTAGAAATTAGGGGAAAGTATTCCCACTTGAGGTTCCATTTCTGGAAACATCATGAGAATCAGGTGATTAGAATATTACGAGAAATCGTAAAACTTTGCTGAGTGCACCCCCAATGAAAAGTTTCGTCCAGAACTGAAGTATGCATTTGACGGTTTCTGTGATGGCGTATCGCCTTGTTCTGCCATGTTCCCGACCTCGCTCTTC